AATCTCAGAGAGAGCTGAAAACGACGCATGAGCTCCCAGAGGAGTTGTAGGACAGGGCTGGCCCACTTGAGCCACGAAAACACGCCGAGTCTTGTGAGGCTGAGCTCCCGAGTCACGAACGTCGACCCCATCGCAAACTCACGTGGCCTTCAGTTGCCACCGGCCTCTTTGTTTACCCGGCTCCTCCGCAAATCCAGCCTTTGTGTGCAGACTAAGCCAGTTTTTCAGAGTTTCCTCACTTGCCCTGCCAGGGACTGGCCCGCCTCCACCCCTCTCTCCGCTTGCTTCTCACAACGTGAGGCTCACCTTTCTTCCACTGCTTGTCAGCAACGGCATTGGGTGAGCCCATCAGGAGTTAATCAGTGGCAAAAAGAAATCTGAACTGAGCTGACCTGCCACATGGGAGGGAGACAGCTGCTGAGACGGCACGCAGAGCGGGGCCCTGACCCCAGCTGATCCGGGCAAGCTGCTCCCTCCCAGCCTCAGTTTCCTACCTGCAGATATTATGGCCAAAGCAAAGCTCAGGAGGAGGGGATATTTCAAGGAACTGATAAACAAGCAGGGGACCTGCGAGGTGACTTAAAGATCCCTTACAGTGATCTGCTGCATTTGACCTCTGGAATGCATGCAATCATATTTAACACCGAAGAGCATTTTAGGTGACATGCAGCGGCATTCAGTATTTGGTAGCCTTGGACTGATGCAGGGTGTGTGTGTGCATGAGTTGGCTTGATTTGAAGCCAGATGATGTGAACCTTCCATGTGTTAATCAACGGTGAAATGCAAAATACAGCAAAATCTGAACTATGCCCACCGACCAGTTGGAAGCTGCAGAATCTCACTGCTTTATGCTCCTCCCTAAAATATTGATGTGCCACCATGCTTGGTTTAAGCTCTCCTGGGGATAATACCAACCTACCTCAGAGGTGTGTTTGTCCTGTCTAGCGTGAGCTTGCAGCTGAGGCAAACGCTTTCCAGGTGTGAGTTAACGCACAGCCCCTGAAGAGAGCTTAAATCATCTTTATTTAACTTCACATGCATTCAGTAGATCATTTACTCACAATCGAACTGATAGCTCTGTATAGAGCGTTACATCTTTCTGATCTAGGTCAATGCTATGGCCGCGGTGAGAAAAGAGATGGGCTTCCCCTCTCCTTGCAGTAAGGGTTGATGGACAAAGAAACGGAAAAGAACAATAAAACTCCTACCTTTGCGCCTCTGAGCTCAGGAAATTACTCTTAATGAGCCAGTCAGAGGGAAGCTTCTGGGACCCCTAACTGTGAACTCCAATTCCCAGGTGCAACTACTCTTAAAGGTACATTAACGCTGGCTGGGGCAGCACAGTGTTGTTATGTTTATTGTGGTAAGAGACATAAAGTGCTTTGAACACTGAAATTCTAAATGCTATTGCATTACATGTTTGAAATTAAGACCTCTGAAGAATCTCCAGAAGTTGCAATGAGTCTAAAGCATGGTAGAGGCGTTGCTTCCAGGCAATAAACTGCAGGGACTGTATCTTGCAAGTGGCAAAAGAGCTTCTTCTCTGTCTGCCTCTTCGTTGCAGGGCACAATTTAAAGTGCCGGTTGCTGCTAGGGACGCCCCAAATTTTGCATCAGTCATGTTCAACAGACGGACTTACAGTGTTCAGCTTTGGCAATCAGTTTGCAGGGAATTAACACAGAACGTAGCTGCACCATTAAAATGTAGATGTTTTGTTCAATGCTCTGTGATTTTAAGAGTGCATAGGCCATTCAGTAATTTTAATATCGTATATTTCTTAAAATTCATAAGAACGTAAGAGAAGCCCATGTTGGATCAGGCCAATGGCCCATCCAGTCCAACACTGTGTCACACAGTGGCCAGAAATACCAGGTGCCCTCAGGAGGTCCAGCAGTGGGGCCAGGGCACCAGAAGTCCTCCCACTGTTGCCCCCCCCCCACAAGCACCAAGAATACAGAGCATCACTTGCCCCAGACCGAGAGTTCCTACCTACACCTTGTGTCTAAAAGCCACTGTTGGACCTCTGCTCCAGATGCTTATCCAATTCCCTCTTGAGGCCATCCATTCTTGTAGCCCCCTCCACCTCCTGTGGCCGTAAATTCCATGTGTTTATCACTCTTTGGGTGAAGAAGGACTTCCTTCTATCCGTTCTAATAAGAACACAAGAGAAGCCCATGTTGGATCAGACCAATGGCCCATCCAGTCCAACACTCTGTCACACAGTGGCCAAAAGTACCAGGTGCCATCAGGAGGTCCAGCAGTGGGGCCAGGACACCAGAAGCCCTCCCACTGTTGTCCCCTCCCCCAAGCAGCAAGAATAAAGAGCATCCCTTGCCCCAGACTGAGAGTTCCTATCTATACCTTGTGGCTAAGAGCCACTGATGGACCTCTGCTCCATATGCCTATCTAATTCTCTCTTGAAGCTGTCCATGCTTGTAGCCGCCACCGTTGCTGTAACTGATCTTGTGCTGGTCACGAACCATATTAGTAAATTTGATTAGATTTGATTTGACTATGGCAATCATTCACAATCCAGTCACGGGGGCTGTTTGGTTTGGCAGCAAATGACTCTAATGCCAGCCGAAGATGTTTGCTCTGGGTTTTTTTACAGCTGTACAGCTGGTGTTTGGATGGTTCCTGGTTGCTACCTGTCAAGCCCTGGATGGTCTCTGACTGGGTACTTGAGGGATCACTATGAAGACAGGTTAAAACACTTGGGGCTCTTTAGCTTGGAGAAACGATGGCTGAGGGGTGACATGATCAAGGTTTACAAGATTATGCATGAGATAGAGCAGGTTGAGAAAGAAGTACTTTCTCACAATACAAGAACTCGCGGGCACTCCATGAAATTGCTGAGCGGTCGGGTTAGAACAGTCCAAATCAAGTCATGAAATGCCAACAATTCTAAAGCATTCCAGTTTTGGATCTTGAGAAGAAGAAGAAAAGGAGGAGGAGGAAGAGGAGGAGGAGGAGGAGATTGGATTTATACCCCACCCTTCAGTACCCAAAGGAGTCTGAGAGTGGCTTACAATCTCTTTTCCCTTCCCCTCCCCACAACAGACACCCTGTGAGGTAGGTGGGGCTAAGAGAGCTCTCCTGAGAACTGCCCTTGAGAGAACAGTTCTGAGAGAACTTGTGACTGACCCAAGGTCACACCAGCAGCTGCATGTGGAGGCGGAGTGGGGAATCAAACCTGGCTCTCCCAGGTTAGAGTCCACGCACTTAACCACTACACCAAACTGAACAGGAAGCGTCTGGAGTGTTTGGGGACCTTCCTCTTCCCCTCTCCTGGGCAATGGGCCCCAGCTCTCCGTTTCCTTGGACAGCTTCTGCTGCCGCCACTGACCCTTTGGATGGAGGCCGCTTCTGCCGTGGAGTCCATCTCCTCTGGAGACAGAGGCGCATTCCTCCTTCTCATGCCAGGGCCCAAGGAGGGGCTGCCTCTGCTCCCCTTTCTGGCTTTTGCTGCCAGCCGAGTGTGAAGAGGCCGGGTGTTTGCTCTCTCTCTCACTCTCTCCGGTCCATTGCCCTTTCTCAAGGACTCGGCTATCAACTCTCCCCCAAAGGCGGAGAAGAGCAAACACGGGCTGAACTTTTATGATCCCACCCTTATAAACCGGGGCAATGACAAAGCACTATTTTCTACAGAACAGAAAGCTGAAGAGGCAGAATCCTTGGCTGGGGACAGAACGTAACCAGTTTTTCTTCTCTGTTGAAAGCACGCAGGAAGATCGGGCTCCCGGTCTTTTCTTCATTAATCTCACACCTTAAAAGCCCTGCACTGTTCTCTTTTTTCCTGCACAGATGCAAACAGGGCCCAGAGTTCATGCTTGAGGCCGGCTACTTCTTGGGAGTTCATCCCAGCTGGCTTGCAGGTCGAGGGGTGGCACTGATTGGAAAGTTGTTTCGGCAAAAGGGCTGAGCGGTCTGGCAAAATGTTTTCCTTTGGCCAGCAAAAGCGACTCTTGGGTGGATGATTGTGGTTACCACAGTGGCTAGCCAGTCCCTCTGGAGGGCCAACAACAGGGCAGAGAGGCGGAGGCCTTCCCCTGATAAGAACATCAGAAGAGCCTTGCTGGATCAGACCAGTGAGGATCTATCTAGTCCAGCCTCCTGCCTCACACAGCGGCCAACCAGTTCCTCTGGAGGACCAACAACAGGACTTAGAGGCCTGCTGTTGCCTCCTGGCTCTGGGATTCAGAGGGTTTAGTGACTCTGTATGTGGAGGTTCTCAATCACCATGCCTAGTGATGTTCCCTCTAAGCTGAGTTAGTATGAGCTAGCTTACAGTTTTTTAGCCTCTGACTCACACAGTTTTATCTTCGCTCAGGAAGGACAGCTCCAGAGCAAACTAATGTAGGCAGTAGCCAAATTGCTCGCTCACAACTTTAATGCCAGTGGCTCACAAAGTAGAATTTTTGCTCATAAGACTTCACAGCTACTAGCCATTGATCCTCCGTGAATCTAATTCCACTTTAAAGCTGTTTATTCCTGTGGCCATCACCCACCACCTCTGGCAGAAAATTTCATATTTTAACCCCTCTCTGTGTAAAGTAGTATTTCCTTTTGTCCTTCCTGAACCTCCTGCCCATCAGCTTCACTGGATTCCCTCGAATTTTGGGAGAAAAAAATTCTCTTTGTCCACTCTCTCCACCCCACATATAATTTTATAAACCTCTGTCACGGTCCCCTTTAGTCGTCTTTTTTCTAAACCGAAATCTTGAATGCCAAAGAAATTTTACAGGCCAGTAGTTGGCAGCTAGAAGCAAATTATCGCCAGTTTCTTGGGTTGGGCACAAATTGTGTATCAAGAAGATAAGTTTGCTGTTAAAGAAATAAACTTCCAGGTTTTGCACCAATCCCTCTTTTATGATACGAGTCCCATTTTTAGGTGGGGTCCGGTTCTTTCATTTCCAAAGCAGCAGCCCGGGTTTCCTGGGGACGATGGAGCTGTGCGAAAGTCTCTTGCTTTTGTTGACAGTTTGTATCTCAACTTTAGCTCTCATCTCAGCATGGAGCCGAACGGCGAGGAGGAGGCAGCTCCCCCCAGGCCCCGCACCCCTCCCCGTTTTGGGCAACTTGCTGGAACTGAAGGCCCACGACATCCTGAAGTCCTTCAAGAAGGTAAGCGGGATATGCCAGCCTCCAGGTGGGACAGACATAAAGAAACACCGCGATAGAACAAAACACGCTTCTACTAATATGTACTTGTATCTTCATATATTGATTTACTCGCAATAAAGACTCTAGTCTATCTTATACACATACAAAAACCTAAAGTACATTGTATTTACTAATAGAAAAGTCCACAGCTGCGAAGACCTATCCCAATGCTGTAGACTATCTTGCTCCTGATAGAGGACTAATGAACGTTGCAACAGTCATAAATGATGAGAGATGCAGCGGGCCGTTATGCTCTCCACAAAGAGTAATTCAGCAGGCATCAAAGCAGGCATGAGAGATGCAGCAGGCGGTTGTATTTTCCACACAAAGTGTTTCAGCAAGCATCAAAGCAAGCAACACGCCTCCCAGGCAAAAATTGCGTGTTCCGACAAATTCTTCTTCAGGCAGACGTAGTTTTCCTGGAACCAAAGTTCTCAATTTTACTGTGCATAAGTCAACCATTCTAAAGAAGGCTTCTCTGGCTCTCCTCTTTGTTGGTCTTTGTAGCGGTGGACTTTTCTATTTGTAAAGACAATGTACTTTAGGTTTTTGTATGTGTATAAAACAGACTAGAGTCTTTATTGCAAGTAGATTAATATATGAAGATGCAAGTACATATTAGTAAAAGTGTGTTTTGTTCTATTGCGGTGTTTCTTTATGTTTGTCTAACCTTGCCGTGTTCCTTGTGTGTTTATAACCCTCGAGGTGGGGCCTGGGGATCCCCTGGAATTACAACTCATCTCCAGACTACAGAGATCAGTTCCCAGGAAGGAAATGGATGCTTTGGAGGGCGGATTCTGGGGCATTGTACCCACCTGAGGTCCTCGTCCTCCCCAGGTTCCATCCCCAAACCTCTAGGAGTTTCCTAACCTGGATCTAGCAACCCTACCCCCCCCTCCCGCCATCCCCATCCCTTGCAAGTGGCAGGGGGGAAACCTGCCAGCCCTACTCCATACGTCTCCTGCTGCCAGAAATGGGATGGGAACAAATGCCAGTTTGGGGTCAGGGTGGCTACAGATCTGCATTCCTTCACAAATGACGGCTGGACTCGCCAAAAGTAAGATGGTATCGCTGCCAGGGGGGGGGGGGGGGGACTCTCTGGTCTGATTCCTCCTCCTTGTTCCCCTTCTCCTATTTATTATTTATTTATTTATTATTTGTCTTTTTAGCCCGCCCATCCCGCAAGCGGGCTCAGGGCGGGTAACATCATAAAAATGGTACAATAAATCCCGGAAGCTCTACTTCTAAACCTCAGAGGGGTAACCACCCTATCCGTGACACAAAGGAAAAGAAACAGCTTATATACTATTTGCAGCCAAAACCTCAATAGCACCTACGTGGAAATCCACAAACAATCTAAACGTCGTCCTCTGGTATAAACAACTTTGGAACATATACAAAATGGAAAAAATCCTCAGACCTTCTGAAACAAAACAAATCTAAAAGGCGAATACGACGATATTACACGTTTATCCCAGATTAGCGCATCTAACCACTAGAGGAACAAGACCTGATGTAATAAATACTCTTCACCTCATTTAACAATCTCGAAAGGTATTATAGACATACTGTACGGACAGCATGTAATGGAAAGTGTCACTCTTTAGCAGGGCTATTTTTGGGCAGGAACGCACAGGAACGGAGTTCCGGCTGGCTCCTGAGTTGGCCACGCCCAGCAGGAACTCATTAGCATAACAGGCCACACCCAACAGCAGGAACTCATTCGGATTGGCTACATTAGGGGTGTGTGGCCTAACATGCAAAGGAGTTCCTGCTACAAAAAAGGCCCTGGGTTTTGACAACAAACAAGGTCAACAGAATAACAAGCAAAAGGTGGGTGTGGCTGGATAACCACACTTCTGGTAACATGGGGGTGCAGCCTAATGTGCTAATGAGCTGTGCTGTCGGGGTGTGGCCTAACATGCTAATGAGTTCCTGCTGTTGGGTGTTGCCTATTATGCTAATGAGTTCCTGCTGGGCTTTTTCTACAAAAAGAGCCCTGCTCTTTAGACTTTTTAGATTAGACTCTAAGCTCTCATGTCATAAGGTTTGACTTGTAAGACACTGGAAAACAGCATCCTTAGACTAGACTATATAGAGCTATATTTATTTGTAGGTATAAAATAATATATGGAGGCTATATGTACACGCCTATCCTGTTGTTAATCTTGTTGTTAATGTAAAATGAATAAAACCATTTTGGGGGAAAATACAGTTAAAATTAAACAGATTTAACAATAACAAAGCATTAAGACTCAATCACACTTCTGACAGTCCCTGGCTGTACGGTTCTTTAGCATATTATTTGGGTCTGGCATCTCCCTTTTGTCAGCCCCCATGGCCCCCGTTAGCCAATCGGGGCACAGTTGGTTAATCCCCATTGCTAGTTGGCAACCTGATAAAAGCATCTTATGCCAGGTGCTTTTAATTAAGGCTTGGCCCAAACAGGCTGCACCTAACCTATAAAAACGTGCAACTTGATCACGCTTAGCGAAAGCCTCAAAATCTAGAAGTCCCGATCCTTACAATTCCACCTTTGAATCATTCTCCGCGTAAAGATGTATTTCCTTTTGCCTGTCCTGAACCTACTGCCCGTCAGTTTCATTGGATGCCCTTGAGTCCTAGTATCATGGGACAGGGAGAAAAAGCTCTCTTGGTTAACTTTCTCCACCCCGTGCATAATTTTTATAAACTCTATCATATCCCCCTTGAGTGGCCTCTTTTCTAAACTGGAAAGTCTCCTAGGGAAGGTGCTCCAGCCCCCTAAACATCTGGGTCGCCCTCCTCTGAACTTTCCCCAGCTCTGCAGTGTCCTTTTGGGGAGACGGGTGACTAGAACTGTACACAGGATTCCAAAGGAGGCCACATCACAGATCTGTACAGGGCCATAACAATATTGGCCATTTTATTCTCGAATCCCTTTCCTAATCATCCCTAACACAGAGTTTGCCCTTTGTTAAGTCGCTCGCTTAACAAAGCAGTCGGAGAGTGATTCAGCAAGAACACAGCTTTATTCTTCAACTCGGACACAACTCCAACACGGATCAACATCTGATAGCCAGAACAGCCTTCACATTGCAGCTGTCCTGCTTTTAAACATTCCCGGCTAATGTAGCCACACCCACTGTACAAACACCAACCAATACAGTTGTTCATATAAGGACCAATCACGGACGTTCCTGCTCAGGGAGCTTGCTGTAAAGTGATTGGCTAGGTGCTTCCTGGGCTAGCAATGCAATTGGATGGATTTGGATCCTAGCCCAGGACGAAGCTCAACATGGCAAGTCAATTAGATGTTTCACATACATCATGCATTCAATGGCAGCTATTGAATACATTACACCCTTTTCCCTTTTGCAAAGTGCTTATCATTTGGGAAGGAGAGAGAGAGGCCAATCCTGCATTGCCTTTCCCCTCTGTTCTTTTACAAAACCCGCGCTGCAACAGAAATCCCCCTCTGCATTGCATGCTGGTTTCACTTCCTTCGATTATTGGATTTTATGGTAGCCTCCACACTCCATGCCACTTTCTTTGATCATCGGATTTAATGGTACCTTCTGCATAGATTTATGGCTGTTTTATGGCCATTCGGGGGGGGGTGACTTTGCAGTCAGTACGGCGTATCTGTGGGTGATTCTGCACTAGACCTTGGATCCTGGTTCAACCCTGTTCCCCAAACTTACATTTTACACGACACTCGAGATCACCCCTGTAAATATCTCAGGGTATTTTTTTGTTTCCACATTACATTGAGGTCACCCCGCTTTCGTCCCACACTTGTCCCAGGATAAGCGGATGCTGTTATAACCAGGGATCCATTTATATTTATTTATTTATTTTAGCATTTATATCCCGCCCTCCCCGCAAGCGGGCTCAGGGCGGCTTACAAGGAGCAACAAGTGCCCACGCATAAAAACATACAAAAACAGTAAAACCAGCAATTATCAACACAAATAAGGTGCTCAGTAAGAAACAAGATGGTCACCGAATGAACTTACAAGATGGTATCGGTCTTCCATAAAGGTGGTGTTGTCCTGTAGCTGGTGTACAACCAGTTGGAATACGGCGCCATGCAGTATCCTGGCAGGTCTTCCAGGGACCGTCCCCCCCTAGCCCCGTTGTTACCCACGCCGTTTGTGGTGGTGGCAGCGGCGGCCCCTACGTAAAAGCCTGGTGGAAGAGCTCCGTCTTACAGGCCCTGCGAAACTGCAGAAGGTCCTGCAGGGCCCTGATCTCCTCTGGGAGCTCATTCCACCAGGTAGGAGCCACCACTGAAAAGGATCTGGCTCTGGTTGCGACAAGCCTTGCCTCCCTGGGGCCTGAAATCACCAGGCGATGTTATGTCCCGGACCAAACTGCTCGTGGGGGCTATGTGTGGGGAAAGGCGGTCCCTCAGGTATGTCAGACCCTGACCATATAGGGCTTTAAAGGTAAGTACCAGCACTTTGAAACGGATCCGGTAGCTTCCACACTTCATGCCACTTTCAAGTTCTTTGCTCATCAGATTTAATGGTACCTTCTGCAAAATGTGGAGAGAGAGAGAGAGAGAAAGAGAGAGAGAGAGACAGAGAGAGAGAGACAGAGACAGAGACCAGCTAACCAAATAAACAGGCCAGCAGTTCTCACCAGGAAATGTCAGGAATCTACGAAATGAAGCGAAACTGGGCCACAAACAAACAGCGATGAATTGGGATTAATTCCCTCCTCTGGCGACAGGGAACACGTGCTCAGGGTGTGCACAGGTGGGGTAGGGATTGAATTACCTGGGCACACCTATTCCCAAGGGGTGCAGAGCTTTGAAAGGGGATCAAGTTACCACTCCGAAGGTGTGCGGGCACGCCACGGGGATGGCTGGGCGCATGTCTCTCTGGGACAAGCACGAGTTGGCCCATTGGGTTGGGTTGCTTGTGGGTAGGGGAGTGGAAGCAGAGATCTGCCGCAGGAACTCGAAAGTATCTGGGTATTTCTTGAGCTGGCCGGGGGTAGTTGCTTAATCGGGGCTGTTTCCGCAGAGGACGTGAAAGTTCCGAAGGCGACCGCGCACAGTCAGCTCTTCACAGTGCTCTCTTGGTACAAGCTCTGCTGATGTGATGACTATGGCCCGCGGAGGTCCACTGTAAACAGCAGGGGTCATAGCGCTGTTCATTCCAGGGCTATTTTGGGGCAGGAACGCACAGGAACGGAGTTCCGGCTGGCTCCCAAGTTGGCCACGCCCAGCAGGATCTCATTAGCATAACAGGCCACACCCAACAGCAGGAACCCATTAGGATTGGCTACATCAGGGGTGTGTGGCCTAACATGCAAAGGAGTTCCTGCTACAAAAAAAGCCCTGGGTTTTGACCACAAACAAGGTCAACAGAATAAGACTCAAAAGGTGGGTGTGGCTGGATGACCACACTTCTGGTAACATGGGGGTGCGGCCTAATGTGCTAATGAGTGGTGCAGTCAGGGGGAGTGGCCTAATATGCTAATGAGTTTCTGCTGTTGGGTGTGGCCTATTATGCTAATGAGTTCCGGCTGGGGTTTTTCTACAAAAAGAGCCCTGTCAGAAACATTCCATGCACAGAGTTCCAGGTTTGATCCTGGAATCTCCAATTAAAGGGTCTTGGTGAGGGCCTGCCTTTGCTGTTACGAACAGTCAGTGCTGGGATGGATGAATATAAAGCATGTTGGGACACGCAGAACCCACCAGAGGGGAAAAGCTGGCCCGTGACCTTCTCTGATTCCTCCTGCAGCTGAGAGATCAATATGGGCCCGTCTTCACGGTCCACTTGGGCCCTCGGCAGGTGGTCGTCCTCTATGGCTACGAGGCAGTCAAGGAAGCCCTGGTGGATCACGCTGAAGAGTTCAGTGGCAGGGGTCACTTGGCCACCGTGGATGACTTCGTCCAGGGTTTCGGTGAGTTCCAAGGAAAGGCAACAAAATCCACATGCGCCACACACACAACCGGCCCCCCCAGATAAGGGCCAGCATCACCCCCCTGTGACACCAGAGATCCAGCTGAAGGTACCGTGTTTACTCAAAAGGACAGTGAACCTGAATGTAAGACAGCCCCCTTGAATGTAAGACAGCCCCCTTGAAACTTATTACTGGACCTAATCCTAACTTGTATGCCAGTGTAAGACAACGTCCTTCAAAATGTCACACATGCACACAAAAAAGTGTTAGTACCGGACATGACCAATGCTCCCTCTGAGCTGTGGAGTCTTGTGAGCAAAAATTCTACTTTGTGAGCTGCTGGCATTCAAGTTGTGAGCGAGCCATTTGGCTTAGTTTGCTCTGGAGCCCTCCTTCCTGAGCAAAGGCAAAAAGGTGTAAGCCGGAGGCTAAAAAACTCTGAGCTAGCTCTCACACCGACTCAGCTTAGAGGGAACACTGGACATGACTGTAACTTAACAAAGCCGGAGTCCAAGGACATTGATGTGGTATATGATCACTACTGCCAGAATGACATATGCCCAATGTTGGAAACAAGATAAGGTCCCTGAAATTGGGGAATGGATTAAAAAACTACTTTTTATGGTGGAAATGGATAAAATGACAAGGAAACTTAATAATTTGGAAGCAGAAGAATTTTTTGCAGACTGGAAAGACTTTAAAGAGTACTTAGAAAAACAATGGGATGTAATTTGATTTGCTTTGATAACTACTGAAAGTTTTAAGAAGTAGAAAACAGATAAATGTATTTGTGTAACAGTTGAAAGATAAATTACCTAGAGATGGATTATGAAAAAGAGAGGAATGAAGTGAATATAAGAATGGAGGAGGAGGTTGGAGCACTGTGTTGTTGTTGTTCAGTCGCACAGTCGAGTCCGACTCTTCGCGACCCCATGGACCAGCTCCCGCACTGTGGGAAGCCGAAAAAAGGGGAGGGAATTGTGGAGGAAAGGATGTCTAATGAATTAAGTATTGACATATGTTTAACTTTTTAATATATCCTAATAAATTGTTTTTTTTAAAAAAACAAAACAAAGCCTGAGTCCAGTCGGGCACCTTTAAGACCAACAAAGTTTAATTCTGGGTATCAGCTTTCCTGGGCACGGGCACACTTCTTCAGATTTAAACTTTGTTGGACTTAAAGGTGCCATTGGACTCGGACTTTGTTCCCTTGCTTCAAACCAACACGGCGACCCCACCTGAATCTATGACTGTTAACTTGTCTGCAAAAGTACAGCCACCCCCTTTTGATGGCTTACCTGGGGGGGGGGGACCTAGTCTTGCATTTGAATAAATACTGTCGTTCACCAAGGAGTTTTTAAGTTCCCCTCGAATCCAGCCAGCCGTTTTAGGTCCCCATCTGAACCCGCTGATTTAACTACAGCTCCACGTTCATTATGGAGCTGCGGTGGCTCAAGTGGTTAAGACGCTGAACTGCAGGCTGTGGAAGGTCAGTAGTTCAGCAGTTCGAGACCCGGGTGCCGCATGATGGAGTGAGCTCCCATCTCTAGTTCCAGCTCCTGCCAACCTAGCAGTTCGAAAGCAAGACATTGCAAGTAGATAAATAGGTACCACTTTGGTGGAAAGGGAACAGCGTTCCGTGCGCCTCGGTGTTTAGTCATGCCGGCCACATGACCACGGAAACGTCTTTGGACAGCGCTGGCTTTTCGGCTTGGAAACGGAGATGAGCACCGCAACCCTAGAGTCGGATTTGACTGGCTTTCAAGCAAGGGAACCTTTACCTTTACCACGTTCATCTCTAAGTACCATTCTAAATTTAATGAACTAAAAAATGTGAGACTGGACGGTCTTCCTCTCCCCGTGCGCTCAGCTAATCCTTGCAATCCTTGCTCGAATCCCTTTATGCATCATCTCCCTTGGGAGGCTGCACAAGGGCTGCCTGAGCGGGGGCTGGGGTGGTCTTTAGCTGCACCCCACAGGGGGGCTTCCTCGCAAGCCGGGTTGCCAACCTCTCCAGCTGGGGCCTGGAGCTCCCCTGGAATTACAACTAGTCTCCAGACTACAGAGATCAGTTTCCCAGGAGAAAAGGACAGCTCTGGAGAGTAGACTTCAAATGGTGTTGCCTGCCCTGTGGACCTCCCTCCCCCTCCTTAAACTCTGTCCTTTCCAGGTAAAAGTAAAGGTAAAGGTTCCCTTGCTCGAAAGCCAGTCGAGTCCGACTCTAGGGTTGTGGTGCTCGTCTCCGTTTCCAAGCCGAAGAGCCAGCGCTGTCCAAAGACGTTTCCGTGGTCATGTGGCCGGCGTGACTAAACACCAAGGCGCAGGGAATGCTGTTCCCTTCCCACCGGAGTGGTCCCTATTTATCTACTTGCAATTTCTTGCTTTCAAACTGCTAGTTTGGCAGGAGCTGGAACTAGAGACGGGAGCTCACTCCGTCATGCGGCACACTCAGGTCTCGAACTGCTGAACTACTGACCTTCCACAGCCTGCAGTTCAGCGTCTTATCCCCTGAGCCACCATGGTACCCCAATATCTTAAGTCTGGGCCAAAGTGGACCGGGATGGATCCTTCCCACCGAAGTGGTACCTGTTTATCTACTTGCAATTCCTTGCTTTCGAACTGCTAGGTTGGCAGGAGCTGGAACTAGAGACGGGAGCTCACTCCGTCATGCGGCACACTCAGGTCTCGAACTGCTGAACTACTGACCTTCCACAGCCTGCAGTTCAGCGTCTTAACCACTTGAGCCACTGCAGCTCCTGTCCTTTCCAGGGCCCACCCTGAAATCTCCCAGAATTTCCCAACTCAGAGTTGCCAACACTCCTCCCAAGGGAGGTCAGCCGGAAACCATCTTTATGTCCCAAGGCAGGGGTGTTGAACTTATTTGTTATGAGGGCCGGATATGACATAAACGAGACCTTGTCGGGCCGGCCCATCTTTGTCATAAAAGGTCATGCCAGCTAGCGGAGAGATAAACTTTATATAAAGGACACAAAACACAAAGGGTTGGGGTTTTTTAACTTAAAATAAAAACATGCTTAAAACATCAGCAGTCTTGCAATATTTTGTTTATTTAACAGTGTCTGATAACTGACACCTCTGGCTCTGAATTATTGCATCAAAATGTCTCTGCTGTTGAAATCTTGAGTATGCTGTTCAGATGTGTGTATCTGTAAGCTGCAAACCTACGATGATGCAGCAGCAGCAGCAGCAGAACTGGAAGAAGAAGAAGAAGACAGCCAGTTCCACTGCAGGCCTGATAGAAGACCCTCCGGGGGCCTAATCCGGCCCCCGGGCCACATTTTTGATACACAAGTCCAATGCTCCCTAAGCCATGCGAGTCTTGTGAGCAAAAGTTCTACTTTGTGAGCTCCTGACATTAAAGTTGTGAGCGAGCGATTTGGCTACGGCATAAATAAGTGTGCTCTGGAGCCCTCCTTCTTGAGCTAAGACAAAAATGTGTGAGCCAGAGGCTAAAAAACTGTGAGCTATCTCACACTAACTCGGCTTAGAGGGAACAATGCCCATGTCCCAAGGTCTTCTTTACCCACAGTTAACGTCTGTATTCTGAGTTTTTAAGAGTTCTTCCCCCTTCTGATTACTGAAACTTGATAGAACGGTGAGGGACACTTTATCTTTTAGGGCGGGCTCGGTCGCATTTTCCTGCTCTTGCTCTCTCTCTCGGTGGCTCCTGACCATTTTATAATTTGTGCTTCCAGGGATCGCTTTTGCCAACGGGGAGCGGTGGAGACAGCTCCGACGGTTCACCCTCGGCACCTTGCGCAATTTTGGGATGGGGAAGCGGTCTATCGAGGAGCGGATCCAGGAAGAGGCCCACTTCCTTGTGGAGGAGTTCCGGAAAACCAACGGTGGGGCTTGTTTTGCCGGCTCCCTTGATTGTGATATTTGGAAAGCGGGAGGGGACTTTGTAGGATCCGTTGATGCTCTGAGCTTCTCTGAAGGCACCAGCTCTCTGGCACCCACTCGCCCATCTCCCTCTGCCCCAGTGGGGAACAGGAACAAAAACCTCCTGCCATTACATCAAACAGATTCTCTTTGCTAAATAGAGAATCCGCTGACAAAACATTCCAATTGTAAGCTTCTCCTACAGGTTCCCTCTGGGGGTGACCCACTGAGCTGCAGGATAAAAATCTAAATAATAAATAAATAAATAAATAAAACGGCTTCCCTGAACCCTCGTCCTATACCTCTGCGCCTCCCTCAGTTAAAATCAAATACCTTTAATGGCATAACAGTAGGGTGCAAAAACATACGATAACACAGCGTGGTTAGTTTAAAAACATAATAAACAATATGAATCGTTCCTTCAGGAGCATAGATCTAACTCTGGCCACTTCGGCAAGAGACATGGCCACGATCGGTGTGATATTAGGATTAGCATCCTTTAATAAATACTGGCCCCGGTCACACAGGCCCGATAACACGGGGGGGAGGCGTGGCTCTTTGCACCGGCGCAATTAGACCCGCCAGAACGTTATCAGATGCGACGGTGGCACACCGCAGTTTTGTCTGTCAGCGTGTGCTCGTCAAGGACAGCCGGGGGGAAAGCTGTGCGCCGGCGCGATCACACGGAGTGATTCTGTCGGCAGCCCATGGCAAACCATTTGCTAGTACATTTGTTTAGATACTTTTAAACTGCGCAGCTTTAGCGGCACGTCACGGGTTGGCCATGGGTGCGCTATGCTTTCCAGATGCTGTGGTGTGATCGTGCCCTGAAAATCCGCCCAGCATTCGTGGCTCTCCCGTGGCAGATTCGGCGTGTGAACGGGGCCACTGAATAGCTTTTCCCTTATTAGAATTATGATTACGAGGAAATAAAGATGACAACAATGTGTTGTCGAAGGCTTTCACAGCCGGAGTTCATTAGTTGCTGTGGATTTTTTCCGGGCTGTGTGGCCGTGGTCTTGGCTACAATGGACCGGACGTTTCGCCAGCAGCTGTGACTGGCATCCTCAGAGGTATAACACAGAAAGGTGGAGGACTCCCTGTGTCAAGGTGAGAAGAAGAAAAAAATGGTAGGCAGGTAATTTATATCTGCTCGGGAAGGTGGGGCAGGGCTGAGTTGTCATCTGGCAACAATTCTTTGCGTAAGGCTGCGCGAAATGGACAATCAAAAATAGTATGATATATTGAATCCTCAGATTTTAAAGGACAGGAACATAACCTTTCGTCCTAGACCTCTGCTCCGACCTCAGTCAGTCCCCCCTCCCTCTGCCGTCTCCCATAATGGGGGTGGAACGTGCCGTCAGGTCTCTCAGCTGACTTAAGGCCACCCTGTAGGGCTTTCAAGTCAAGAGACGTTCAGAGGGTGAGACTGACTCTACGCGCGGCCACTTTAAAACTTCCCTGGCAGCCTCCCTTCCAAGTGCTAACCAGAGGTGATCCTGCTGAGCAGCCAAGATCTCCCATGTGTAGGAGGAATCCTTAGCTTACCGACTATTGGAGAGTTTGTTCACTTTAGGGCAGAATTGCCCATTCCCCATAGAGAAGCCTTCTTATTGTTAGGAAGGGAGTTGAAAACAAATCAGCCAGTATCAGGAACTCATAAGCATAACAGGCCACACCCAACAGCAGAAACCCATTAGCATATTAGGCCACACCCTGACAGCACAGCTCATCAGCATATTAGGCCACATCCTGTGCCTTCCCTTGGCTTGCCCGGGCGCCTGCGGCTGCGGGGAAGGCATGGGGATGCATTTAAATGCCTCCCTGATCCTTCCAGGGCCCCCCCGTCCCACCTGCCTCGGAGTTGCGGGGGTGGTGGTGTTGCTCTCCAGGCCTTCCCTCTGTAGCCACGCTCGCAGAGGTTTTGGCTGTAGTGGGCATGGCCAACTCTGAAGTCAGCCGGAACTCCATTACTGTGTATTCCTGCCCAAAAATAGCCCTGATCGAAACGAAGATCACAATCTGGAGTCTTCGTCCTTGTCTGTGTACCATTTATGGACTTGCACTACTCATGGACCTGTATATTATATGATGTAATTTGGTTTTACTGAGACATGTGGTCCTCTGTTATTCTTGTTATTTAAATTTACTCTTTTTGCATGACTTTTTGAGCACTTGTGGTCTGCGTTATTTCTACGGTGCTTGCTTGCTTTCTGAAGAATTAGTCTCCCCCATTTTCCCTCAGGTGTCCACTCAGAAGCATGATAGGACAGGACTGATGTGCCGCCAGCCCCCCCCCCCCCAGAATAGCAAATGTGCTGGACACATGAGAGTGGGGAAGGGGACCAACGCTCCCTCTAAGCTGTGGAGTCCTGTGAGCAGAAATTCTACTTGGTGGGCTACTGGCATTAAAGTTGTGAGCGAGCCATTTGGCTGCTGCATCAATCAGTGTGATTTGGAGCCCTCCTTCCTGAGCTAAGACAAAAAATGTGTGAGCCGGAGGCTAAAAAGAACTGTGAGCTAGCTCACACTAACTCAGCTTAGAGGGAACACTGGAAGGGACCTTGCTGGCTGGCTAAGGCCAAGCCCAGCGGAGCCTGTCGGCAGGGGGGGGAAAGGGCTGCCCGGCTTCTCCTCACGGCTTCTTCCTTGCTCCAGGCTCGGCCTTCGACCCCACGTTCTTCCTCAGCCGCTCCGTCTCCAACGTCATCTGCTCCATCGTGTTCGGCCGACGCTTTGACTACCAGGACAAAGACTTCCTGACCTTGCTGGCCAAGATAAACGAGAACTTTGTGGGCATGAGCGCCGCCTCAGGTCAGGTAGGAATGGGGAACGGGAGACGAAATCCCACCGAAGATGCTTCCCCGCCTTCCAGTGAGCGGATCCCTTTTCCATACAGGCAATCGGAAGAAGATGCGGAGGCCCTAGGGTTGCGTTCAGCTCCGGCTCTGTGAACCCTCAGCACAGGGCATGGGTCCCCAACCTATTGGAGCCTGTGGGCGCCTTTGGAACTGTGACAAAATGGCTGCCACAAAATGGCTGCCGTGGGAGACAGAGCCAGCCACAAAATGGCTGCCAGAGTCCACCTTCGGCCATCATCGTGAAGATCCTTGTATTGGGGCGGCAGCTGTTGCCACAGCAACGTTTTTAGAAATTCCGCACAGCCAATCAACTTTCCAATGGCCTATAACCCCACGTGGCCCCACCCACTTTCTGAAAACACCTGTCAGGTGCCAGGAAATGTTGGTGGACAATATGCCCCCCCCACAGGCATCGTTTTGGGGACCCAGGGCATAAGGTGTCCATTTCACAGAGCTCTGACCCCCTCAGCAAGAAAATGGCCTTGTAACACTTCCCAGTGGACAGGCGAAGGGTTAGGAGTGCTATCGTGCTTACAGAAGTGGGGGTGCCAGCTACGGGTTGGGGAATACCTGGAGATTTCGTGGGGTGGAGCCTGAGGGGAGTGGGTTTTGGGGAAGTACCTCAGCCAGGCACAATTCCATACCATCCACCTTCCAAAGCAGCCATTTTCTTCAGGGGGGGACTGGTATCTGTCGCTTGGAGACCAGTTGTAATTACAGGAGACCTCCAGCCACCACCTGGGGATTGGCAACCCTAGGCCACAGAGGGCACGGTCAGTCACGTGGCTTGCTTTGGCCGTTCGGCTGTTCTGGAAGGTTCTACAGGTATGGCCACTCCACTGAGGACTGCCGAAGGCCGTGATCCTGACAGAGCTTAAAAAAAACCTTTTAGGGGAAGATGAATGAGATGCAACAATATCTGGTATTCTGAGGGGAGAGTTCTAGTTACCAAGAACAGAATTCGAGTCCAGTTGCACCTTAAAGGGCATCAGCATTTTCCAGAATTTTAGTCCGGTGGCGCCTTTAAGACCAATGAGGTTTCATTCTGGGTGTCAGCTTTCATGTGGTTCAGACCAACATGGCTACCCAACCTGAGTCTAATATTTTCCAGAGTATAAAGTTTTGTGAGTGTCTGACCAAGGGAGCTTTGCTCACAAAAGCTTATATCTTGGGGGGGG